TGCAGGTAGAGTCAATATTTTTATATCAGAGCGGTTTGTAAGTTGAAATGTTTGTAACTGGGGCCATTTGTAAGTTGAGGGTTAACTGTAAAGAGAGGGGAAGAGATCAAAGCACTTTGATTCCTGCTTTCCCCCTCCACTTTCTTGCGAAGAAAGTGGAGGGGGAAAGCACTTTCTTGTGAAAAAAGTGGAGGGGGAAAGCAGCAATCATCAAAGTGCTTTGATTCCTGCTTTTACCCTCCACTTGCAGACTTAGCAAGAAAGAGAAAGCAGGGATCACAGCAATCCTGCAGCACTTTGATCCCTGCTTTCCCCTTCCACTTGTTAAGCCCCGCTTAGATTTCTTAATTTTGTGTTTGAAAAGGGGGCAGTCTTATACATGGAAAAATACGGTATAGCTACTGTTACATACAGCACTGATGTTACCTGTCTGTCATGGGTTTGGAGGGAAAGTTCCATCCTATGGCAGCTTAGTTAACGTGTGGCATATCCCAGTAGGTCTGGGGTTGTCACAGCTACATTATAGTAGCATGCTCTATGTGGGCCTGCCTTTAGAAAGCATTTGGAAACTTCTGTGGATAAAAAATGCTGCAGCCAGATTGTTAAATGGGGCTGGCTTACAGAGATCCCATAATGTCCCTGTTACAGCAATTCCACCGGCTGCGGATCCATTTCCGGGCAAATTGAAAATGCTGGTTTAAGCGATAAAGCCCTAAATGGTTTGGGTCTCAAGGGTCACATGAACCTGCTCGGGTGTTAAGATCATCAAGGGAGGCCACCACCTTCACAGGTGCACAGGAGAGGGCCTTCTCTGTTGCTGCTCCCAGACTCTGGAACATGCTCCCCCAGGAGGCCAGGCTGGCCCCATCCTTGCTGTCCTTCTTCAACCAGACCAAGACATTGACCATTTTTAGTGGAGCATTTGTTTGATTCTTTTTAAATATTTGTATGCTTGCTCTTTCTAGATTTTAAATACTTTTAATGATGGAAGCTTAAGGAGTAAGGCGAGGTAAAATTATATAATCTCTATTTCTGTAGACCAGTGGTTCCCAAATGTGACTAGAAACTAGACAAACAAAATTGCCTTGTAGCATCTAAATACATTGGAATGTATTCCAAATACGTAAACATGTTGGTACTTATGACATACATAAAAAGCTGTGTGTGTGTGTGTGTATTATATATATATATAATACATGTGAGCTGTTACTGGATCCCATTTATAACACATGAGTGCTATGAATGCATAACCCACTGCACATGTATTTTATACGTACAGTAGTTTACATTCCAGAATGGACACAACTGTGAGCATATAAGAAATGCAAGACAGCCTTCCAAAAGTTAATTTTGCCTACAGTGCATCTGCCAAAGTGGAATCTTTTAGTTTCTCATTCTCACCATCCACCACCCTTCTCTCTCCTCTCTTAGTGAGATCCACCCAGTGTAATGGTGCTCATAAGCAGACTTTGAGGGTCATAATGAATAGAGTTAACCCATCCCTCCCTGCCTGCCTCAAGATCTCAGCACACACCCCGACACATAATGTAAATAAGCTAACAAAAAGTGTTTATTAAAATAGCTTTCTATGAGGAGAGGAGAGGAGGTGGAGGGTTGTATCCAGCTGTTAGTTCCCCTTCCCGTAACAGTTTGGAAATAAAAGCATTCCTCCTTTAACACACAGGATACCATAGAAAATATATAATGGGGTTCACTCAATCTTTTAACATAGTGCTTAGTTTGCTGTATTTTTAATCTGGATTATTTAGGACTGTAGAATTTCTAAATATGTGGGCTTCTTACTGCCTGCAACTAACTCTGTATAACGAAAATGCTAGTTGCTACCCCCTAATGTATAGTATAAAGATGGAAATAATGAGACAAACCATTCCTTATAATTTGGACATCTAAGGTTTCTAAACAAGCCATATAACAAAGTAAATTGTCTGTGTTAATTGTACGTTTTGTAAAGTACATGAACTTGCCCATCACAGCATGCACAGCTTAAGGGAGTCCCTGCCTTTCTTTCGCAGCGCAGTAAGTAAGAATAGCTGTGAAGGGGCAGGTAGGGTGGTTACTCTCAGATCAACCTGATTTCAATCCAGTCCAGAATAATTGGAATGAGTAGATTATTTCTGAAGCAACGGCAGTGGGTGTGTCCATATCTGGTTAACGGCATGGTGTTCTATACTAGTGAAAGAAATATCTATTTTATTGGCTTTATATGCAGTAATCATGCATACAAAAATAAACGCTTTATAAAGCAAAGCATTGATTTGCGTATTGCACGGTGTCTTGCAGTGCATCTGCACAGAAGTGCTTTATGGTGATCTTATCCATCTTCAGCCCTTAAAAGTGATGTCAAAGGTTTTTTCCGGTGTCACAAATGAAGGACTGAGATGGATGAGATCCAGGACATCTGTTTAGATTTCCTGTCAGTTTTGAATTAACTTGAAAACAACAGCATGTAGCAAATTGAGGCAGGTTGGTATCACTCTGGATAGGAATGGAATGGATGGAAGGAATACTAGAATCCATGGATTCTCAGGTTGTGGCAAGCTTGGTGAAAGACTCTCAAGCAACATCTTTAGAAGTTGGAGGAGCAGGAATTTAGATAAGAGAAACAAGGTTAATATACCTTTAAGTATTCAGAAGGGTGGTGGAGTCCTTGGAGGAAATGAACATAACATCTAAAAAGTTTGTATTTGTAGATTCAACAGACATACTTTGATTCTTGAGGTTATATTTTCAATATGTATTCATGGATTTGGTGCAGCTACTAATTTCTTCAATAGCTTTGTTTAAACTTATTCAAAACTGACTAGATCAGTCTATTCTGGATACAGGGTTTTTTTTACTGTAGACCCCCCCCCCAAAAAAATAATAATCTACCTGTTCTTCATAAAATTAATTGGAATTACTATTTGGGTTTTAACATATTAGCTTAGTTTGCTGCATTTTATAATCTGGATTATTTAGATAAAATAACTCTAAACATTAAAACTCTAAACATTTCTCTGCTGTCTTTTCTTTTGCTTGTGCTTGGGTGTGACAGTCAGCAACAGGTAAGAGCACGATGTGAGAAAGTTCATGTTATGAATTTCACTATTTTTCTATGCATTGTAATTTTGTGTTTTTAAGTACCACAGAAAACTAAACCTTAAGTACATAAACATGGACATGGGTTTGTTTGAGATTTTGGGTCGCTTCTTAACTCGTTGTTTGCTAAAGTGACAAGACCAGTGATGGTGGAGACAACCATTATTTCTGCCATATGTCTGAAAACCAGGGAGAGTAGTTGGGTCAGTAGTAGCAACCATGTCGCTGTGGCGTTTATGATGCTTCACAAGCTCTGCTGTTCTGTTCCTTATAGTCTAGGCCAGTGGTTCTTAACCTTTGTTACTTGGATGTTTTTGAACTGCAACTCCCAGAAACCCCAGTCAGGACAGCTGGTGCTGAAGGCTTCTGGGAGCTGCAGTCCAAAACTCCTGAGTAACCCAAGGTTAAGAACCAGTGGTCTAGGCCAAAACTCTGTTCCAGTGCATTGCATCTTCCATTACAGCTTTGACCTGTTTAGGTGGCTTACTTTAATTCTAGTTCTGAGGAAATGCAACCTTCCCTCAACTGAAGTGAGCCATGGAACATTTATCTTTAATCTTGGCTTAGGGGTGATGGTGATGGTCCCCCTGTTCAGTATCAGTTAAATGATTTGGAAATGGTAAAGGCTGTGGAACCTTTTTAAGACCATTTGGGGTGTGATAATACTGGAAAATAGATTGTGTTTTGGATCACTTGTGGAGCAGTCTAGTACAATCTATTTCCCAATAGTCACTTAATGCATAAAGAATTGCACTCCAGCCTAATCCCAATCTGAAACCAAGATGGATCTTTTTGGTCTAGCTGTGGGACCTCTATTTTTGGGAGGCAACCCTAGAGCAAATCCATGAAAGACAGAATGGGAGGTCACTTTAGGGGAGGTCATTTCCTGCAAAGCAACTCTTTCTGGGATGATCAGATGTATGTATGCTTTTCCCACCATCAGACTGCACCCTCCGTCAGCTCAGCAACCGTGGTCATTTATGTCACTGCCCATTGCTTCTTCTTCATGGTATCTGTGATTAACACACATGGGAACACTCTTGGGAACGTTCTAAAACTTTGCCCCTCCCCTTAGCTAATACACTCATCCACCCAATAATGGCTCCTCAGTTCCTTTCTAACTGCCATTTAAGCAACACCTTGGGAATATCTGGAGCTACACTTTATATGTTAAGTCTCAGCAACAGTATAATGAATAGCAATTTGTGATAAACTTGCTCAGTTTCCCTTACACAAGCATAAAATAGCAATAGGATTCTAGCCATTCTGATTAAATGCTGCATTTCATTAGAAGTGAAAACAAGACTTCCATAGTGAAAGCTTGCAGCACTTATGTTCTGTTTTTATACTAGTGAAAGTATAGTATTTCTTATAGTATTCTCTCATGCCCTGAACTCCACTTACTCCAGCGTCCTGTCTCGAATCACCGATTTCCACACTCAGCCCTCCAGTCATTCAGTATTGTACAGGCTGAATGTATTCCATCACCAAAGTTCTGATTATTCAAATGTTTTGGCTCTCTCCAAGGACATTCTAAAATATGAACTTGCAGTACATTTCAGTAGAGGAATTATATTGTTTTAATAGCAAATATTATTTCAAAAGCTCATTTCCAAAAATTCCCATTACAGATTTCCAAAACATATCTGCAATGTTTTGTTCATACGCCAGTGCTGCTCAAGGTTTAGTTTGCCGTATATACATTTGTTTCAGATGCTTCTGACTGATTTGCTGGTGAACAGTGAGTTGATTGAACAACTGTTTCTGGTCTTGTCACTGCAACCTTGGTTAAAGACAGAAGTGACTGGATGAATATGGAAATGTTTTAATTTTTTTAGCACAGCCCATAAGCCTGTTGCCTAATTGTTTTAAATGTTTGTTTTGTTTTTGTTATTGAACAGATCAAATGTCTAAAAGGCAAGAAAGCCTTTTCAGGCCCACACACTTTTGATGGGATTCATATCGTGAACCACTTGATAGGCGATGATGAGTCATTGCATTCATCGGATGAAGACTTGATATCAAATCATGTTCAGGAGGCAGGGGTCCATTTTCACTTGCACAGAAGGACTGGTCAGGTGGATTTGAATCCAGCTGTGCTAGACAGTAGTGGCAGTGATACTGAAAATACTGAAGCATCAGGCACTATCATTCATAAGGAGAAGAACCAAAAGAGAGCCGAGTCTTATTCTACTACAGTTTGATCACTACGAATGTTATTGGCCTTCATTCTCTTGCAGCTTACTTCATGGTCAAGTAAATTAGCATTAAGCTGTGGAACTGACCATCTCTTGCCTTTTATCTTGACGTATGATGTGTATGCTTCTTACTATCTATTTTTACTTTTGCCAAATCTTTATCCTCGGCTATATCATTGCCATAAGGTAGACTGGTAAGAGACTGGAAGGATAAGACAACTTTAACAGTATTAATGACTATTTCCTGTAGTGTTTCTTAGGTTAGGAAATGTCCTCCACAATTTCTTCCTACTCTGGAACTGTGCTGGCAGTTTGTGAACAAGGGGGAGAACGACTCTTCAGAAGAAGCTGTTCTTGTGCAATATTTTAATGCTCTGTGAACGAGTGTGTTCTTTTTACATAAACAGTTTGTGAACAAGATGGAGGTACATGGGATGGGTTTATCAGATATGACATATATCTATCTAGAGTGTCTTATTTTTAATTAAAATAATTCCTGTTATTGGAGACTACCAAAGTTTCCAATTTAAAGCCTTTACCTATACTATTTTATACAATAATTGTCACATTTGGTTCTAAAGGATTTTTTTTTAAAAACACTTTTTGTCGACTTTTATGTGCATCTGCTTTTGATGTGTTGCTAAAGAGGCTGGTCAAAGTATGTTAACTACAAATAATGTCTATTTTGTATATATTTATATATCTCTGCCCCTGCATAAAAATGTATATTGAATTTTGTATGGGAGTTGTGAATACTGCAATATAATCAGTTTTCAGGTTTTAAAAGGAAAATGAAATTCTGTGTAAACAAATAAATTTGGGAAGTATTTATGGGAGAGATGTCAGAATACTAATTCTAAGTGCAAGAACTCTGCTTACCAAATGACTCACAGATTCATGTCTTACTGACATGTATTCCAAATGACACTATTTACTGAAATTTTAACTGTGTTTATGTAACTGTATAATAAATTTTTTCATGATTTAACAAATGCTAAACAGCTAACTCTTTGACTGCTGGAAAAACTACTCTGTAAACTCCTATATGGCATATAAACTTTAGTAATAAATACAAATGGAGAGTTGTCCACCAAATGATGGTAGTATGAATTAAAATATGGTAATGAGAGCAGATGAAGAGATTGCCAGGTGCAACTTCACTCACTCCCCTTCTAGCCTTGCTGCATATTTATTTTTCTTGGCCTTGCTTCTTATATCATAATTTTCCCTCAGAATCTCATCTGCACTCCTACAGCTATCAGTCTCATTTTCTTAGTTTATTCAAGTCCAGCTCATCTCTACTAGGAATAAATTAATAAATACAGAGCAGCAGGATAACAGAGACAGTTGAAAGTAAGCACCAGAGGTCTGACAAGATGTGAGAAGGACAAAAGACTTAAATTATTGAAACAACAAGCAGAAGATAACAGATAAGCATCAGCTTTTAGGGCGCAGTGAAGAACAGGAAGACTGAAAAGAATGGTACAGGAATCATGTAAAACAGGACAAAGCAAAAGACTGAAACTGTTTAAGGTAAAGGTATAATTCTTGGTAAATTTGAAAAACAAATATTCTGAATTTGGAAAAGAAAAAAGCTACAGAATTATTAACAGAGCATGGAAGTAGAGAAGGGGACCAAATTTAGCAGAGTATATTTTACCAAGAAGAGAAAATGGCCCATTAAGTGGAAAAGGTATATAAGGAACAGATGAACAACGAAGAACAAGAACATAAACAAAATCTAAGACAGAAAGGGGAAAGTGTGGAAAATGAACCACTGAAGCGTTAAAAGTCCAAGAACAGTGTGACTATTACTGTAGTACTCTTTTAACAACCAAAAGAACTGAGAAGCAGTCTTTGTTAGTTCCAAAGGCTAAATACGTGAAATAATAGATCATATAAGATCTTACATTTAACTGCAAGAAGATAATCAGAAATATTAATTTGTATAATTATGGTTATGTAAAAACTGAAGATCTGGTTGGAAAGAATCAGAGAAAACAAAAACAAAGTTAAGACTGGAAGAGAAATACATTCAAGAAAGAAAATATAAGAAGAGAGTATCAAAATGCTTTGTTTAACAAAAGTAAGAATGCTGAAGAAAGAAAAAGAACAGGAAACAGAACCATTATGAATATGGAGCAAGGAGAGAAAAATCTCTCTAGAAATTACAAAATAGAAACTGATTTAACAAGACTAGTACTACCTTAACAGGAGGGGGGAAGAGTGGTGTAATCAAAAGGGTGTGGGATGGGAGGAACATTTAATAAATAGTGAAAGAAGGCTTTCTTTCTTCATCTGATATTTGACTTTGCAGGTAAGAAGCAGAAGTTAGGAGATGACCGCTTAAATTAGTGTTGGAGAGGATTTATGGGGAGAGGGATTATTAAGAATAACAAAAGAAAAACAGGATTACAGTGGACCCTCTACTTGCGGAATTAATCCGTATTGGAACGGTGGCTGCAGGTCGAAAAGTCTGTAGGTCGAGTCTCCATTGACCTACAATGCATTGAAAACCGATTAATCCCATAACCAGCTGTTTTTGTTCCATTTTGGTTTTTTTCTGGTCTTTAGGTTGATTCTCCGGCTGCAAGTCGAACCTAAAATTTGCAGCCAGAGAAGTCTGTAACTCGAAAAGTCTGAAAGTCGAGCCATCTGTAAGTCGAGGGTCCACTGTACTGGAGTTGGAACAGAGACATAGAAGACATCAACTTTCAATAAAAGCAGTCAGGAAGTTGGCTGACATTATTGGACCATTGAAAATAAAGGAAGGTAGAAGTGGGGGAAGAGGAGAATGAGGGTCCTTTGGAATGCTTTTATTAGGTCAGGTAGGCCACTGGTTCTTAACCTTGGGTGACTCAGGAGTTTTGGACTGCAACTCCCAGAAGCCTTCACCACCAACTGTGCTGGCTGGGGTTTCTGGGAGTTGCAGTTCAAAAACATCCGAGTAACAGGTTAAGAACCACTGAGGTAGGCCATTTCAGTACTTGGGAGCAGGGAGAGGAGGAAATGTCAACGTCCATACTGGTCAGATGTTGTCGGCCATTTCAGTACTTGGGAGCAGGGAGAGAAGGAGGAAATGTCAACATCCATCCTGGTCAGATGTTGTCAAAAAGAAAGAGCTGTAGTTATTTGAGCTCAAAAATGGCAGCTGGCATGGAGAAGCAGCAGCTAGCAGTGGGATAGTACTAGTCACTCTTCCAAGGACATGGAATCAATTGTCCGTCTTTATACATGTGATCAAAGTGCTTGTAAGCAGACAGCAAACTATCAAGAGGCCAATGCATTTCATTTTTGCAAAATTACTGAAGGAACAAACATTTCAAATAAAGCAGGTTTGGTGGAGGGGAGGAACTGTAGCATCCTGAAAACAAAATAAGCACACAACAAAAAAAATGCAGAGGTAAGCAATGAAGCTGTAGCAGCTGTGCAAAGACAACGAAAGAGGACAGGAGAAGAGAAAAGAAAAGAAAAGAAAGAGAAGCTCCAAGGACCAAGTAACTGAAGGTGACAGAAAATATGAGGGTCATAGGAAAAATAGGAAGGGGAATAAAGAAACAGCAGCCAGGATGGGGAAAAGGTCAGGGATTGGAAGAAATGACAGGTACATGGAAAAACTACTGATTCTAAGCGTACTCTAGATAGACTGAAATAATATTTAGGGGGCTGTCTCCCAGGTGGCAATGGTGACTGAAGCACTCTGGGAGTTGTAGTTCAAAACAGTAACTTCCCAAGCCCTGAACTGGTGATAGAGCACAGGTCCAAGGCCACTTCCTAGCTCTCACCAGCTCAGTGTGTGCATGATGGAGAAGGTGAGTGTTGCTGACCTGTAATGGAGTTAGTGGTTTGTCAGTGTTGTTTCTGGAAAAACTAAATTTTGCCAGGTCCTTAAATAACAAAATGAGTCAACAATGACAAGCAAATCTTGCCAAGCCCTAATCTCTCAACTTTAAGCAGTACTCTCAACTTTAAGCAGTATGGACTTAATCCTGCTTGTTCAGAAGTCAAATTGATTTCCCTGAAACTTCTAAACAGAGACTGAAAGTAATCACATACAAGCAACATAGTTACATGTGCATTGTCTTTTTTTAGCAACAAAACAATACAGTAGGTGAAAACAAAGCTATTTTATATATGTAAAAAGTAAAGAGTAAAACATTTTTAGATGTTTTGATGGCTGATTTGCAACACAGCAAATTAAAATGATGAACTGTTAAAGCTATGGTTAAGAGAAAAATTATTTTTAAAATGTAGTTATTCATGTTCTGCTTCGAAGCAAATGGGACTAGGATTGCATTTATAAACTTACTCCATAGTAAGTCTCACAATGTCATCAATATATGTATAAGCAGGCAGAAGATAGAGGTAAGTTATGCTAATTAATGTGTGCTAATTAATCTTTGTGAACAGTACATTTTGACCGTTTCTGTTCAAAATACCAAAAGAACTTGATTTATTAAACAATGAAATCTCATCAGTTGCAAATTTATAGGAGACAAAATAGGAAAGCTTGTTGACATAAATAAATGGTATCCAGGAAATTCTGAAACATGTTTTCAGAACTGTTCTAACTTTCAGTTTTTGCTGAGCTATTTTTATCACCATACAGGAATCATGAAAATTACATTTCTCAGAACAAACAGTGTATTACCGGGCTGTGGAGTGAATCTTGCAATTCTTCAAATGTGAAATGCAGTTTCCCCAAAGGGAGGGAAAAAATAGTTTTTGAGTTCTATTTCTCTCTTTCTTTGTAGATTGCATCTGCTTCACCTTCCCCAGTGGGAATCCAGATATAAACTACTGACAACCACTGCACCTGGTGTTGGGCAGCTGAGGTTGCCTAGAAAGTATTTGCTTGCCTATCGTTGGTGGCACCAGCTGCAGGTCTTTGCTGAAAGCAAAGCTCTTCAGTCGGTAGTATGAGAAATTCAGTTGAAAGTTGGCCATAAAAGACACTAAAGAGGGATGTGTAATGAGCATGCAGTAACTGCCATACTGCGCAGGTGCTTTTAAATGACTCTATACATTGACATCCCCACCCCCGCTGGAGGTCAAACAATATGCAGTATCTACTAGCTTCTGCTTTAAACTACAAGCAAGGAAATCACACAGAGGGAGGTAACTTACCTCTAGCTCTTTAACCCATTTTCCTATTAAATTTTTTCACTCCAAAGATAAAACCAAATCTCTTTCCACCATGTGGCAAAAAGCAACAAATGGGGAACAACAACAGCAACAGATATTTCAAAAGGAATTCACTGCTTGCTTGACTCACACAAATTATTCTCGATACAAAATCATAAACTCTTCCAACCTTTTCTTCTTGAAAGAAACAAGGGTGAGAACCATTGAAATGGCTTGAACATGACATGTTGATTTGACTCTAAAATGTGTGTGTGTGTGTGGAGGGACAGCAAAGAATTTGTGTGTCTTTTAACATATGATTTTAGAATGCAACTGCATATTAGAAATAACAAGGGGTTGCCACCAAAAATGTCAATCCTAAGTGAAGACATCATTCCCTACTCTACAATGTATAGGGAAATCTGACTTTATTTTTAGTTAAAATAAGATACAACATATAGGAAGTGTTAACAAAATATTTTTTGTCATTGCAATAAAAGCTATAATCTATTAGCCTTGCTTAACAACAAAGTGCAAAAAAAATTACCAAAGAAATACAAAAAACACAATAGTATCAAAAACCACAAAGATCCTATAGTTACAAAATAAAATGATAAAATAAACAAAATTGCAGCAAAAAATGATGACAAAATCACAACAAATTTACAACCAACATAAACTAGAATTTATAGATTGGAATTTAACAGAGGACCTTAATCGCTCAGAGAGTGATAACAGTAATAGGATGGATTTAAATAAATAAATAAATAAATAAATAAATGCCAATTAAGTGTATGTTTAGGGTGGGAATTCAAGATATAACTGGACTCCAATTCCCATGATCAGTCACTATTAGCATTACTAGCTAGGGCTGATGACATGCAATTCAAAACATCTTGCAGGGTCACAGGATATACCTGATACATGATAAAACTTATCTCTTGTCATTATTCATTTGTTTTAGTAGCAAC